CCCCTCCTCCCTCCAAGGCTTAGTCCTAGAGCTCTCACCTTACTGCTTGGGATTTGGAGCCGAGCCAGGCGCCGTTCTCTAATCGTCTGCGCTCTAGCCTTTCGCGGCAGAGAACACAGGGGCGAGTTCAAGTAGTCACGTAATCGAAACACGACAAAGTCGCTTTCTGTCCTAGTGAACCACACCCTCCCTACGTTTTCTTCGATACTTTTATTTCCGTTTTTCTTTATTGTTGTAGTGCGTTACTTTATTCCTCAGTAAGTCCACAAGATCACTGAGCAGGCGGAGCTCCCTTAAATGGGACAATTGAGCTTGAAGCTTGCGGGACAACTTAGAGTCATGAAATGGGGAAGATGTGCTGTTTCTCTTAGTCTTCTAATTGTCCCGTAATCAAAAATCAAAGGAGTAGTGAGGTTCTGGTGTGTAATCGTTGATAGTGCCGTTACTTCTTTGTTACAGTTCGTTGGTGCCATTTATTTCTGTCCCGTCATCAAATGGCGAAAAGGCCTGTTGTATCCGAAAATCAAGCAAACAGAGGAAGGAAAAGGGCAAGAAGAGGAAGCAGAGGAAGTTCCGGAAGTGACTGGTGCGTACATCTTCAATTTTGTGTCAAACCGGTTCAAACCACGGGTCTTTTGGTGCTAACTTAGTTGGGGGGGGGGGTTGACGGACTACTTGAACTCAGCCCTTTACCGCCTCTGCGCTCTCTAGCGGGTCCCTCTCCTCTCCAAGGCTTAGTCCTAGGGCATTCTCTAATCGTCTGTGCTCTAGCCACCCCCCGGTTTACGGACTACTTGATTTTTCGTCAATGGTAGGCAGTCTAGGGGTGGGGGGAGTCACTTGACATAGAGCTGGAGTGAAAGTGAAAAGCTGGAATGTTCGAGTTTACACTGCCTCCCTCGAGAGAGCCCAGGTGAGCAGACTGCCGCGTGGCCCGTCTTTTTTGATGGCTGGCGCTCGTGGTCGGAACCGCTAACTTGCCGTGCTTGTGTGTATGTATTTACCTTGGCGTACGAAATAGAATGCCTATGGGGGTGTGGTCCGCTGGGCACGAAGCGACATTTCCGCTTTTCGCAGCGCGAAACTTTCACTGCGAGAGCCCCAGGTCAACTTCTGTCCAGTGGTGGACCTGGAGTCCCGCAGCGAAAAAGTTCTGTGCTGTGAAAGTACTGTGAAAAGTTCAAAAGTAGCTTTCTGTCCTAGCGAACCGCACCCTACCCACAGGCTTGGCGCAGCGAGTGTGCCCCCTTCCCCGCACCTGTCTTAGCGTCGTATCCTTTTCTTCTCGATCTTACTAGCCCAATAGCCTAACAGCCGGCTCAGCTAGTAGGGGTGTGTATCAAGTGGTACGAATGGAAATTTCAGCACCTAATTAGTGCTGCCTTGCGACTAGGCGCTAGTGTTCTGTGGGCGAGATGCGCCGTACATGTCCAGTAATGGTGTAAAAGATTAGCCACAACGGTTTCGAAGGGAGAAAGGTGATTCCAGATAAAATGTGATTATTCATTCATCATTGTTAGTTTTTAATCTTCTGGTTCTTCCTGGTAAACGTCAACGAATCTCAAAAAATACTTTCCCGAACCTGTGAAAGACTCCCGCTGGGTTAGTAGCAGGGTCAAGCGTGCGTTGAGGAATCCTCGACATGTCACAGGGGGGGGTCGTATTGGCCCGCGCTGGGGAGAGATCGGGCCCGATTGATACAGTAGGATCATCGTCGGAGGACAAACATTAAGGATCGAATCGATACCAGGCCAGAGTATTTCCAATAACAATTGATTCCGTCCACACAAAATCTTCGTGATTTAGAGGTGTCCGCTTAGCAATTCTTAGTGACTTTAGTGTTTCATCACCACACAAGTCAAAGGATCCGAAATTCGCACGTTTTCTAGGGATATTTTATCTTTCAAGTAGGTCCTCAAATCCAACGAGATGTGAAGCACACGGCGCATCCCAGAGTGGGCCCAGTTGGTTGCGCGCGCTTCAGCTACGGCTATCTTGATAACGAATCTTAATTCAGGAAGAATCAAGAGGGTTCTGAAAGAGTTCATGTTAAATTACAGAGAGGAGTACACTATTCAACAAGAAACGCAGCCTTCAGCGTCAAATTCACAATGTAACCTTTAAAGTTGAGACCCGCTAAACAATTTTACACTTTTTGCAGAGAGAAAAGCACGAGGATTTTGAATCTGCTCCTACTTCAGTATGTAATCGCTCCTGCAAGGAGCTATAGTCGTTGGGATAGTGCTAATGTAGCGAAAAAGTACCTTTCGGCGGTACTCGGGCAAAAATCCTCAACGTGGCCATTTTTTGAATACTGGACGTATGAAGCTGCTTTAGCGACCGTTTGATAGAGAAAATCTTCTAGTTTTGTATGACGTATCAACTTTTTGAATTTGACGGAAATGAAGCAAGTTATTGCTCCGGAAAGTGTAAAAACTCGTGCTCGTCTCGAATTTTCCTCGTTATTTGATCTAAATTTGTTATTTCTTATAACTTCCTGTAATTTCAGTACTGATTAGAAAAAGCTCTTCACAAAACTCCCAAATCAGCTTTCAGATTGAAAATTCGTTAACTTTGAAGAAAGTTATAATCATTTGAATATTTGTTCAAATTTCAATAGTAAATAAGCTGCTCCACGGTCAACGCCAAAGTCCAGTCAACACACAGCTGGCGAAGGCTTTTACAAGGCTTCCTTTGAGCGAAAGGGGGACGTGTAAATTGAGAACCATAATCTGTGTAGTACTAGAATTTGGTAAGTCTTGTGGAGGAAATAAACAAAGAAGAGGTGTTGTCATAGTACGCCATTTCTAGTGACTAGTTTGTCGTTTTTGGTCTCGTTACTCATCATTAATGATCATTCTTTGACTTTTTCACTTTTATACTTTTTAAACGAGTTTTTTTGTGGACGATGGGGTAGCAGGGCTTTTTTATGAGCAGTTTTGGTGGAGAATTAAACAACTTTTTCATAGTTCGGCTTTTAAAGAGGGTTGTTTCATGGACTTCGGCCTTCGGCAGAGGGAGGGGGGGTCGTATTTCCGAATTTTCCTCGACGCCTCGCTTGACCCTGGTTAGTAGTCTTCAATTTTAACACCACACTTGCACCAAATATCTTTGAAGGGCTCGCTAAGCCGATCAGTCCTCAGGCAGTCAAGGAAAGGAAAGCATTTCTGAGTCATATGTGAGGTGTAAGAGGTCACTGCTTCTTTAATTAGCTAGCCGAACGGTAGTTATTGACTTTCAGAAATATTTTTTGTAATTCACTTTTTCCATAAATTGATCTGTTCACAGGAGTCAGAAGATTAAAAACTAATAATGATAAATGAATAATTACATTTTATCTAAATCACCTTTCTCCCTTCGAAACCGTTGTTCCTAATCTTTTGCACCATTATGGACATGTACGGCGCGTCTCGCCCACAGGTAGCTGGCGCCTAGTCGCGAGGCAGCACTAATTAGGTGCCAAAATTTGAGGTCACTTCGCACCTAGTCGCGACGCAGCACTAATTAGGTGCTAAAATTTCCATTCGTACCACTTGAAACACACCCACCCATTAGCTTAATAGCCTAGTAGCCCAATCGCATGAGTGATGGCGTGTGAACGTTACCCAAATTTTTTGGGAAATTCGTTTCCGATAGCGGTGGGCACGTCCGCACACTCGTCAATCAGAAGAATTCTCTTCTGATGACCTTTACTGAAGAATAATGGACTTCTTTTATCTCTTTTTTTTCCAAAACAACATCTTATCGCTGCTTTTTCCTTTCAAAGGTATGGTTCTTTGCTGGTGCCTAGAACAAAAGGTCCGTAATTATCGCTTTTGTGCGATCCAGAGTTGCAAGTTTAGAGCAGTACTCCGAAAAAACAAATTGTAGGTTTCAGATGTTGATTCCAACAAGGCTTCTCGTCTGGAGAGTGATCGAAGTCCTATGCAATCTTCTACTCAAGAGAAGGTTGGTTTGTAGTGTTTTCAGAAACAATTCACTGATTTCACCTACGTAATCGGATATAGGTTTCTATTTCAACATTGGGCTTGAGTTACAAATTTCATTGCATTCAGCTTGCATTCCTTTGTTGAGCAGGTAGACCGCTATTTCAGGACCATTTTCCCTGGGATCGACTACCGCACGAGTTGCGAATAAAAATTCTGCGCAATCTCCGGCCAAGAGATCTTGACAGCTGTCGTTTGCTAAATCGAGAGACGTCCGAGCTTATTCGTCGTAACAAGCGATTGTTGGAAAGAAGTGTTATTGCTCACTTGGTAATAGCAGAATTTTGGCACAGCATGTAATCCAGAAGCGTCATTCTAGATTATGGGTCTTATTTATTAGACACTTAATTAACAATGAGATTTTAAGCGCACAAATTCGAAAAAAAGAATTGATGTTGCAGTTTTGCTATTTTACCGAAGCTTCTGGACGATGGTACAAGCAATCGAACGCAAAAACTTTTGAAGAGGAATCGGAGGTTAGTGAACTTCACTTCTCGTTTATGAACTCAGTTTCAGAGTGTTGTTCAAATTAAGGCAAGATTCGGGATAAAATAGGTGTGGAAAAGCGTTCAGTTATGAAGCTATAGGTGGGAGGTGGTCTGTAAAAGAGAAGGAAAGCAAACGAAACCACCGATTACGCCCCGTACAGAGACCTCCCCTATTTCAGCCACATTCCACCTTGGATAGAGAAGAGGCGCGTTGGACGAGTTTCACGAACCTAACTCTTGCTCCAGTGCCAATGACATTGGGTCGCAATGGGACCGCTGCCTCAAATGCGCCCGCGCTTTTCAAGCAGCGCCACGTGGCAACCGACAGCGGAGGGTGGGGCTTGCGGACGAAGGTGTGAGTTGCGGGTCGGACGAGCTCCTTGCGCCTTTGTCGCGCACTTTCAAGCGGCAAAAGGGGCGCGACATCAACGCTTGTCCGCCTGTCTACTACCCCGGGATGGAACAGGCGAGCGCGCCTAATCCGGAGCGTGCCTTTAAATAGTATTCGTGAGAAAACAACCATGGAAGATTCGACACTATTGCACTATTACAACCCCAGTGGGAGTGAGATGAGTCATTTTGTTTTCGCTGAAACTTCTCCTATGGTGGTTGAGGATCCTGACATTCTGACGACGGTTATGGCATCCAATGTTGACAATAGGCGCCACTTTATTTCACGGTTGTTTTCACCAAATTTGCTGTAAACTTGTGTGTGCGGATTATTCGGGGTCCTGTTTACGAATATGACATTTTGGCATTCGCATTGGCGAATTCGGTAAAACTTAGTCACGTGGCGCCAAATAGCGTTAATTTGGCGCAGCGCCGAAAATGGATGTCATATTCGTAACTGGGACCCTCCATCCCCGATGGAGAAGTTTCAGCAAATTTTTTTTTGACTCATCTCACCCCTACTGGGGTTGCAATAGTGCCGATTTGTCTATTTCTATGTAATTTCAGTCCTCTGGGTCACAACTGGAAACCTACGACAATATTCCTAGTAGCCTTCCAACGATCCCCGCGAACACCGATATTCATCACCTGGAGCTCGAAGAGGTTTATTTATTTATTTATTTATTTCCACACGTTCAGTGGACGCGCTTAGTAGTTATCCTACTTACTATAAAGCGCTTCGTCTGTCGTCTGTCGTCTGTCGTTCTGTATGTCTGTCACGAAATTCCCTAGCTCCTCGGGATCCGCCTGGAGGGACCGGGTCAAGTGTGGGATGGGTGGGCAAGGTCTCACGAAGTACAAAACACACATCAGCTAAGCGGAGCCCCGCCCACAGTGGGCGTGGCGTGCGTCGAAATGAAGTGTACTGACGACCGAGATTTTCAATTCTCAAAACGACCTCGAAACTGGGCCAAAAAGTGGGTAAAGGTGTGCATTGGTAAGTCACATCGAATTAGGGAGACCCACCCCCGGTGGGCGGGGCGTTCTCCAAAAAAGCAGTGCTTTATGAAAAATTTCATAACTCGGTTGGGAGAAAGCCTACAGAGCAGAAAACAAATTGGTGTAGGGAGCAATGTCTAAGGTGTTCCCAGCATACATGACGTGGGCGGAGGCCCGCCCACAATGGGCGGAGCGCGCTCTGAAGTGTACAGCGTTTTCTACAAGTCCTCATAATTCGGGCCGGAGAAGTCTTAGTGAGCCGGAAAAAGGTGGATAGAGGTGGGTGGAGGAGTGGAGGCCAACTGTCATCGGTGGGCGGGGCTTGACCAAAGTGGGCGGAGTTTGCGACGAAAATTCATAACTCGGCTCCAAGAAGTCCCGGAGACCGGGAAAAAGGTGGATAGAGGTGGTGGAGGAG